TTCCTCTGTCCTTCTGCTGATGAGGATAAAACGTGACAGGTGTGCCCACGCGCTGATTCCAGCCTGTACAGCAGCTGTGTCTTCTTATTGTGAAATAAGCTGGCATTCTGGTTTTGCAAATTAGTCTCAGGAGCTTTGATAATGTGAATCTTTGGCTAGAGCAATGAATTCCCTAGGTATGAGCTGACAACGTGTGGAAGGTAGAAGACCAAATCGGGATCATGCTACCGCAGACAGTGAAGCCATACCAGAGGCCCAGTAGCTATCTGTTGAAAGATCAAACCTTTTCAACTTCTGTGGCATTGTTTAGATTACAAAACAGGTCCCCAAGCGTATCTTTTTTGATTCTTAAGACAATACTAAGGGTACATATGAAAGGTTATATGTCCATTGTATGGATGAAAAGAAACTGAGCCATAGTGTTTTGGTGACTTGTTTGAGGTCATGATGCCAGCAACCAAGCAAGCTACAATACATTCAAAAGAGTGACTGCAAACATTTTTAACCTGGACATATCATTAATGCTTTGCTACCAAAAACATGCCACTCAAAACATATACAGGTAAATAGTTATATAATAGCTAATAGCTATTAGCTCTTACTACGTGCAAGGTCCTCCTCTAGGCAATTTACATACATTAACTTGTTTAGTCCTTACAATCACCCTATAAATCTAGTACAAATTATTGTTCTCATTTTACAAGTGAGGAAAATAAACCTCAAGGAAATTATAGAGGTTGCTCAAGGTCACATAGATAGAAAGAAGCAGAGCCAGGAAGTAAAGCTACACACCCCAAACCTACGGTCTTACCCTGTATTGTACTGTGAATATATGAAAATTCTTGCTTGGTTGGATACCATAAATCTTGGATCCTTCTTCCAGCTTGATTTGTCATGTGCAAAAGACATCTTTTCCACTTGGTTTAGTAGCCAAGTTTGAGATTTGATTTCTACGCTCATCTCTCATCATGCTTGTACTTGGAAATCTGTCACTTCCTCCAACCTCACCACGTCTGCCAACTTACACTTTCTAAGATAAGGACGATCCCAAGAATTGACGCCTGTATTCTCAATTCTAGATCTCCCCAGTCTGATTCAAAGTGCTTCCCAATAACCCCCGTTGTGATAGACAAGATGAGATTAAATTTTACTCTATTGGAAGACAATTCCATTGGAATACCAAGCATTGAACAACATCCTGCCTCCACATTTCTCAGATTTCAGACTGACTTTTTAGACACCAACTTGCATTTCGACAGGTATCTCATCCAAAGAATCTTTTCTGATATTTTTGAGAATATTCCCTTTTTAGGCCACCTGCAACAATCACCCATGCTGCTCTTTCACTCAGGGAGTATTTATTGCACCACTAACAGGTATAAGGCATGAGCCTAAGCTGGAATCCTCTAAGAACCAAGGCAAAAGGCATAGTCCCTGTTTTGGGGATCTTTCTATTTATTAGAGTTAAAAGACGTGCAGAAATGAGCATCAGAAGAAGAGTATTATTAGATGCAAAAGGTATGTATTTAAAAACTATGGAGGTTTAGAGGAGGGATTGTTCCATTTATTTTACATTTAGCTGGAGCTGAGCAGGAGCACCAAGGAAAGATGCTATTCCAGGGTGAGCAAACAGCGAGATCAAAGGCCAGGGGCTAAGACAAAGCAGCACATTCACCCATCTTGGCTGAAGCAGCAGATGGACTGAAGAATGTAGCAAGGAATCATCTGGAAAGGTGGGTGAGGGCCAGAGTGTACTGCATCATGAATGAAAAGCCCTGCATTTTTCTCTAAAGCAACCATGGAAGGGAGAAACGTTCTTTTGGTTACAGAGCACAGGGGTTAGAAAAGGGGGCACTGGAGTCAGGTAAAATTTCCAGTATTGTCACACAGTCTTTTGGTAACGTTGAGGAAGTCATTTAACCATGCTAAGTCTCAGTTTCCTCATCTGTGAAATGATGAAGAATGTAAGAACTACATGTCAAGATTAAATAAAGCAATGATGACAAAAGGAGACTTGACATTGAGTTGGCGGTAGTAGGTACTAGGAAACAGTATTAGTGTCAAATGAATAAAGAAATGGTGAAAGACTATTAAAACTCTCATAACCCACTCTACATGCCCCAGATTAACTTTCATCTCATCTGTGCCCCCTGACTGTGACAAGAGATTCAACACCATATTCGTGTGTGTGGCTGAGCTTTTGTGAATGCATACTTGCTCTCAGCTCCTATCCCACCCCTGGGAGTGTACTGGCCTTTGCAGCAGATATATCATGTTGATAATTTATGTTAATCTTCTATTTAGATCAAACCTAAGGGACTTTTTCACAAACAAAGCACCTACCTTGCTCTGAATCCTGTCCTCCTGCAATTATTCTTTCCTAAATGTAGGATTTTACACCATCTCTGTTAATTTCATCTTACTAATTCCAATCAAACTTTTCTTTGCAGAAATGTTTCTAAAAATAGTTTTTATGTAACATTTAAGCTATCAATTACCTGAAAATTTGATAAGCACTGAACTTACCACTAAAAATATCTAACTGGATTAGAATGAAAAAAGAGTTCTAAATTACATAGCTTTGTACGTCCCCTTTAGTTTATTCACCCATCAGTCAGCACTATTAGGCTAGGATCGTTCAACCAGCTAGATTTTTCTTAATATTCGTATGCTCAAGAGGCTATCTTAACACTGGACCGCATACTCTGCCTAACTAGGATACAATTTATCTGCCCCATTACCTACAATAAAAAGGTTAACTAGATGTTGTTTTCATGACTTACTCTTTGTTAACACATGATCACTGATTTCTCATCTAAACGCTCCCTAAACATTTGTTGTATAGCCATGATTTTCTCAAAGTTCCCAGTGTACATGCAGAAGAAGTACTGCTCACTAAGAAAGACCCGGCCAAATGTCCTCACCACAGCTTTTCCAAGCAAGGCAGTGTGGGTTCTTGAATTTATACATTAGCTGTGTGGGTAGATGGCACGGAGGTCAGGAATCAGAGCAAAGCTTTCAGCTACATCTGTTTAATATAACATGAGATATGTTGATTTACAAAGCCGTTAACCAGGCAGACGGAGTAGCTTAGGTATTACCTGTTACGTTATTTTTAAGGCATATATTAAGGTATTTTTGCAAAAAAGAACACATATTCTGAGGCCTTTTATTTAATTTTTATGTGGAACTATCAAGGACACAAAGGAAGGATACTGCAATTAATTCTATTTCCTGAGGTTATTTCATTCAAAGACAATAGCTGGAAATTCCGATTTTTCAAGTAGGCTTTAACAATTAACAGTATAAAAAAAATTAAGAGAGAAGGCAAAGATTTGATTCTGCCCGGCCATCAGAAAGAGTTGTTCTATCACAAGGAGTTGAAAGAGACTTCTTTTGACCCTGACCACCATTTGTAGTTCATTGTCCCAAATCTCTTGCCCTAAAAAGCCTTCACAGAGGAGCAAACACCTTGGTAGCTTGTTCCGTCACCTCTACTGCACTTTGTCCAATAAATTGGGTCAATATACTTCCTATTCTCAGCCTTTTCTTCTGACTCAACAGGATGCTGGCATCATTCCAAACCTGCTGGGGCCCAATCCTGATTTTATAGAAATTGAAAAAAAAATCAATGAGAGAAAAAACTGTTTCTGGCTAGCGCCACAGACACGGCCACAGGCAGGAGCTGGCCGGCGCGATCCGCGATCACCCACATGACCGGCTGGACACGGACTTTGTTATTTCACAGCACACCTTGTCATCCAAGTCTCTCGATTGTTGCAATCAGTGCTAGTGCTCCAGGGTGAAAATAAATAAATAACATTCTGGGCAGCGCTGTGAATACACACAGAACAGCAATAGACGGAGATTCTGCCTGCCGGGCTCTAATCAATTCTTGATTTTTTTCTTCTTTTCCTTTTTTTGCTTATGCTTTGTCAGCTAATAGATTGTGACCCATGAAATTACTTCTTTGAAAAGGAGCTTGCTTTAGGTAATATCCTTCTTTCTAAAAGAAAATCTACTGATGATGGCATCCTTGGGTGAAGGCGGGGTTTCTGTAAGTCAGGAGGCAAAAGGGAAGGGTTATCTAGTGAGTAACAAGGAGAGATCCCTTGCTTTGAAGTCGATGAACTCTTTAAAAGGCTTTAGAAGCTACCTTCCCACGCAGCAGCCTAGGGATGGTAGAATTCATTTGAAGAGCCTCACTCAGAATAGGAAAAATAAAAATACAAACCTATCCAACTTGGCATGAAAAACATAAATGGGTTTGAATAATTGAAAGCAAGCAGACTTTACCATATTGCAGCCAAAACCCGAACAGCAAGCTGGCTCCTGCTACACAGAAAAGCAATCTAGGGCATTATCTCATGTGTCAGTCTTGCCACTTTTCTTAAAGAAAACTCTAGCAAGAGGATTTGTGTTTTAGAGATCAATGCCAGATAGGAGCACCATGAAGAATGAGTAGGCATATCTTTAAAATGTTGGAGAGGCAAGTTTTTAGGAGAAAATAAACCTATTCATAATTTGAAATCCTGTCTTTCCACTGCTGGTGCCAAGTAACAGACTTTGTCATCCATTACAGAAGCACAGGGTGTTTCAACGTTAAACGGGTGAGAGGAAAAGGCTGTTGCTCTAGGCAACTCTATTGCTATTATCTGTTTAAAAAGAAAGAAGAGCATCATTTTAATAAAGGAATGAAATACTTGTTTTCACCAGCAACAGCAGGATTTCACAGCTTTGCTTCACTCTTCCTTTTACTTACACACACACACACACACACGTATTTTTATTGAATTATAGTCAGTTTACAATGTATCAATTTCTAGTTTACAGCACAATGTTTCAGTCCTACAGGAACATACATATATTTGTTTTCACATTCTTTTTCACCATAAGTTACTACAAGATATTGAATATAGTTCCCTGTGCTATACAGTATGAACTTGTTGTTTATCTGTTTCATACATACTAGTTCATATCTGCAAATCTCAAACTCCCAAAAAAATATGGAACACTTCATGAATTTGCATGTCATCCTTGCACAGAGGCCATGCTAACCTTCTCTGTATCATTCCAATTTTTTAGCATACGTACTGCCGAAGAGAGCACTGTTTCACTGTTCTAGCCTCTCCCAAATTAGCTCTCATTCCCTCCCATTGCACTGGTGCCATCACCTAGACTTTGTACAGAACATAACATACAGAATTCCCCTCATGCATGATGTTCAAATTAGAGTCACAATTTGACAGTAGTTTAAGCCATGCAACCAAGTAGGTTTCATTTAGAAATAGAAATTCTTGTCAGCTTCACAAAATAGGAGGAAAAATATAAAAACAAGTGGTGAAGAAAAAAAAAAAAGCTAATGGGTTGTCCCTGGGACACAGACTGTTTGGAGTAAAAGGTTAATTTCATCAGCAGAAAAATTACCATCAGAGCAGAAATGGCAGTAATCAAACAGAAGTGGTAGTGGGGACAACACATACTGGAAATCAATGGGAAACTGGATAGAACTTGGAACAACTAGCAGATAAAGACATGTTACTGAATGAGACCAGACAAGAGAACTTACGACCAACCAATTCCAATTTGATTAAGAAGGTTATGAGTATCGGGGGGAGGAGAAAGAAGATGACTCTCTACTGATTGTGGAAGGAGAGATTGCCGATTGCCGGATGTAGCCTTTGAGGCTATCAAGCGCTCTGGGCTTAACTTAACACTTTGTCACACCTCCATTCTTTCTCTTACGTGTCAATATCCCACCCACTCTACAAAGAGTGTCATGGCTTGGCTCACTTCTGAAAGCTAAGCAGGTGAAACCTGGGTGTAGAGAAGTCCACTGTGAGTGATAAAATAAACCAGGTCTTCTCCTTTTACTAAACACTTGCTTCAATTATCTGCTGAAATAGAACCACTTCTACAACACTGACCGTGGAGAAGGAGGCTGCTCTTTAGCCTGGGCCTGACCCTGTCTGGGAGTGCCACAAATTCAAACATTATTTTTTTAAATTAAAAAAAAATAATAATACAAGATACAGCAAGTTGAAGATGTGGTTGTTGCTGGTTTGTTTTTTCCCACAATTGGGGATGAAATGAGCTCTGTTTTACACTGCTGATGAAATGGAAAATTGTCATAGTCTTGCTGGAGAGCTGTTTGGCAATTGGC